TACTGACAAGCTAGAGTTGTCGAGGGTAAAATCATATAGAAAATGACCTGAGGTCACCTGGAGGGAAACGAAAATTGCCTCGAATTAGCGAGAGGTTCGAGTTGTGGAAGGTTCGGGTTACCAAGAGTAAAACTAAGGTAAATGTACTCATTAAGGAAATCCAGGGGAAATAGAGGAAATTACCCCCAAAAAATCCAAATTGGTATTCAGAAAAGATTGATAGGGAAGGCTAAGATAGACCGAATTAAGGTGCTGAAGCTATACAACTAATGAAACGGCAAGTTTTAAGTTCGCCCAGGAAGCGAGAACGAATCCGTTATGACACTTTTCTGTTCAATGTTGTTTTCGTCGAGGTGAACAAAGATATTGAATATCACTCTATGGGACGCCAACATTCGCTTTTGCTAATCAGTACCTCATTGTATACAGTGGTGCTTTTGTCTTCTGCGGTTCCACATGGTGCAGTTATCATTATTTTAGGTGCTTTTGTGATTCTATGCAGAGTATTTTTATTGTTTGCTTAAACTGTTGTGGTAGATTAACATAAGACAGACTTTGCGTTGACAGAAAAGGCGCAACAATATTAAACCAGCGTAGATTACATAGCCTTACAATGTGCCGGCTGTTGTTCAACCGTCGGCATTGAAACAAGCTCGCTCTACTGGCAATATTGTCATCAGTGAACTACTCTTGAAGAAGACCGCCGCGTGTTAATTCCAACCACCGATGGCATCTTTGAGTTTCTTGGCGACTTTGTTAGTGTGCTTAGCTGGTTTAATTTTGTTTGCCATTCAGTTTTACTTTTTGAAAACTCGTCAACCGGAGCAGATCAGCCTTGCTTGTACAGGTAAGCTAAAACTGACCAAATGATTACAAAGGATAAGTTTGATGTGCAAAGTTTAACCGTACGTAATGACAGATCAATGGTGAATTTAGCGTTGTGCTCGTTCACTTTGTTTCCTAGCTGCTTGCTTGTATAAGGACTGATTATAATACAATGTAACATAGATCAATTAGCCTTAAACTTTCTCATGATGGCAAACGGGATATATTAGCCTGCCTTAGATTATGTCGATTGAGAGGAAGGAGAGAAAAAATGATCCGGTTCACCCATAACTATTGTACTCTCTTCGCTCATGTAGAAAAAGATACCGAAATTGAAGGATTTTTTGGCCGTTCGTAAGAACACTGGGCATTTACACTACAGTGCCTCAAAAGTCATTGATTCCCTTATAATTTTACGTCAGTTTAAATAACCAGGCTTCGATATCGTTTTTGTTAGAGTTTTCATGTATTCAGTAGATGAAGAAATCAGTTACATAAGCTCGATCCTTCTTAATTTTAAGGTTACTGTATACCTTTTGAAGTGTCTCACTTCCAAGCGATGCAGCGCGTCTGGTTTAAACTGTAGATTCCTAAACCCCTACATGTATACCATATAAAGCTTATAGAGCTGTCTATCAAACTATACCAGGAATTTTTAAATTAAATAATTTATCGAATATTTCATGACATCTAAATACGAGCGTCCGAATCACCTTTATAAATTTACAAGTCAAAGCGAATTTTGTTTTTCGTTAATTAAAATTGTCTCTCAGTTTCTGGGCCTAAAGCGCTAAAAAAAGTGTCTGCGTTTTACCATATTCTATTTCAGTGAATAGTTACAAAACATTTTAAAATAGGATTAAACTGGGTCATCGTAAAAGAATCCCCCTCCCCCGGAGGAAATTTAAAAAGATAGTTCGAAACAAAAAATCCGCAGACGCGTGTTTGTTGTTTACATGCCCAACAAGCTGCTGTTCAAACTTGAGACCAAACGAACAAATTTCTAATTACGTCTTCATTGAGCACAACTACCGAAAACAATCGCTTAATTACGCACTGACTAATAACTAGTTTACCGAAATGGTACAAAATGCTGCCGAAGGAAAGGAGGATGCAAGGAGTGTCAATGCAGAGCAGGTTTGTTCCCATACAGAACTCAGGATTATCGGAAACATTAACAAACTGGTTTATTGAACTTTTCGGATTACAGCACACAGCAGCATTAACTCACAAGTACACCTGGAGTTTCTAGAAACTTCTCCTAGGCCCCATTTATATGGTCTCGGGTATCCGAGACCACCCTCCTCCCGAGTTACCCTGGCCCCGGCAACTTTTAGTTTATGCCTTTGTAAAATTCAACCAACCGTTTACATTAGGATCTCGAACCCGGGCGTCTCGGGGAGGCAAGACAACTTTGGTAAGCCTGGGCAAGCGGGACAACTTTTCTTCATATAAACGCTTTGGCTATTTAACTGTGTCAACTCTCGGCGTGGCGAGTGTCACGTAATGCCTGGATTTAGGATTTAAAGCAGAATTTCGTATCAAGAAAACTGGCTAATAATTTATTCAGCCTGCTTGGTATAAGTGTTGGGAATTGCATAAATTTGGGTTTTGAGTGCCTTTAATTTGCCTTAATGTGATGTTATTTCGGTTATAAGAAAAGAAGTGAGAATGGGATATCCAGCCTTGAAAACAAAATAGCAGAATTTGAAAATAAATAACTAAATAAATAAACAAAAAAAATAAATAAATAAATAAAAATTAAACAAAACGGTGAAGAAACAAAAGGTAAAAGATGCTTAAATGCAAAGTAACATCCTTTGCTTTGTGTGTTTAGACCGCTGCAAGCAAAGTCCGAGTAAAACCTTTTTTACTGACCTCCCTGTCAATATATGTCATATATGACTGATATTAGAAAAGTGATCTTCTGCTTCACTGCTTTAGCAAATCGTTCAGGAGCTTGCTTTAGTTGAGATCAGCGACTATCTGACTGACTCATTAACATTCATGAGTAAAAAACGAATAACTATGAATTGAATTGGAACAAAGGAAATTTTCACGCTTAATGAGATGGATACATAAAGTTCATCATTTTTCTACGATGTTTCCGGCCAAAATAGGTTTTATCGACAAAAGAGTGAAAGACAAAGCTCTAACAAGAGAAATCTCTTGGCCCTAGTGAAGACCGACGTTAGGCCCGTTCCGCTCATGCATCGAACACAAAGAGCGGCGTTTGGTTCAGTTTTGTTCGTCAATTAGATTCGTCAAACAAAAAGGCTCCGCTGCATTTTGCGGCACATTCATTCGACGTTCTACTCATGCAGTTTCAATAAAACGGCGCTCATGATTGGTCCAAAATTGAGTGGTGTGACTAGACGCGTATGAAGCGTAACAAAAAATCCATCGCGTATCGGGATTCATCTTTTTGTTTTCGATGCTTAAGAAACGGAGCTGTACAACAAGCGAGTTTCTTTAACTTTAATTCATTTTTGCCGTTTTCTTTGGGTCAACAGGCCATGCTACCTTATGAGATTTCATATTTGCAATTTGAATTAAACAAGAGGAAACTTCACTAACCACATTTTAAAACGACATTAACCGAGCGAATAAATTTGCTTCCGCTAAAATATTGCTTTTACAGGATCACAGTATCATTGAACTCTTAGCGCAGCTTTGCCTCGTCGAATTTTTTTTTACCACTGGTCTCCACGAATTCTGTTTGACACAAGTACGCCGCTTGAACTGGCCTCTCTCCAAGGTCGCTCTAAAGTCGATCCCATGCATCGGCGCCTCATTGGAGTGGCCTTTGGAYCAGGCGTTACTTAATCCTGCGAGACACTAGGTGATTTATACAACGATCGCGCTAGGATCGATTAAAAGCCGCTGATCGAAAAAAGAGCCCACGTTCCTCTCCCGAACTCGCGGCTGGACGCGTGGACTTGGCATTGTTAATTTCGACCAATAGGATATCTGCTTACACTCAGCCGTCTCTTCTCGGAGACGAACGTTGACTGGACTCGAGTGAGACGCGGAGATCGCAGCCAATTTGCTCACCAGCGAAAATCGAGAACGAGTTTCGCCGTTGATGGACACGGGACACTAGGCAATTATTTACGCCGATCACGGCAATTTGCCACTTTAATTTTGTTTCCAGGCTCCAGGCATGGCTGTTGTTCGCCATTTTGAAAAGTCATGTGATGAAATCGCCCAACCTGATTGGTTAACTTTACTGGTGATAAGCTGCGATGTGCGATACATGAGCGCGGAGTGCGAGCACGAGCACTAAGTACGAGTCCTAAATATCCGCCCATAGTTACGCCATTGTTTTTGCTGATTGGTTGCTTTATGTCAAACGTGTGCTACTTTTATACTGTACTTTGCAGAGTGATTCCGTTTTAGTTTGTAGACTGGTAGCCAGAAAGGAAAATTACAGTTAAATGAGGACACGATTTATATTTGTAATAAAATCTCACACGCACGGATTTGTGTTTATTTCAACAGGAAACCCAACAGAAATGATGATCACGTGGGTAACTTTTAAGCCCACAGTGAACCACAATGTTAAGTACAATGTTCATGGTGAACCACTCAGTCTGAACGCGACAGGTACCATGACAAAATTCACCGACGGCGGATGGGAACACAGGGTCCTGTATATACACAAGACAAAGCTGACCGGGTTGACTCCGAATCAAGCATACGGTAGGTCAATTACTTCCATATTAAAAGCAAAAGTTATTTGCACTCTTCTTTAATATTTTATTCGGCCGGAAAAACAATATTCTTAAAGAATATTGTTTTCCCGGCCAAGGCTGAATATTCGTTTTTTTCTGCCGAAATATTATTGTGAATATTCTTAGATTATGGCGCGTGACATTTCTGTTTTCGAATGTAGTTTTACGGGCGTTGAAGATGGTGACGCACATAACTTCTTGCAGAAATGTTATCAGCATCGAACATACGGCTAGTGCTGTTTTTGTTGCTTTTTGGTTAGTTTCGACGAAGAATTTTATACGGTTTAGTTAAAAACATATAATTGTATTTTATTTACATATTTTCAACGGACAAAATGATATTCTTTTCAAAATCTCTGCCTAGGGTTTATTCTTAAAATATTCTCAAAATTTTGGAAATTTCAGGATCAATATTCTTATAAATTATATTCAGTCTTATAAAAAAGAAAGAGTGTATTCTATTTTACGTTAAAATTCCGAACAGTATAAGCTCATACTACTGTACAAGCAAGTTCAGACCCCACCATGGTACAAGGCGGTGGGATGCGTCTCATTAACGCTTTTGCATCCAGAATACTTTGCTACTTTTGAAAAGCGGTGTCATACCAGAAGAACCAAATATTTCACCGATTACTAAATGTCAACAGTTCTTAAAAGTCAAGTCAATTTGCATCTAGCATGATGAGATTTAAAATGCGGTTGCTATGGCATTGTCAAATGGCGGGAAAACAAATAACGCATCAAACGTTCTGTGAAGGATGAATTCAGTGCCACTAAAAGTTTTAGCATTGAGAAACACGTCAAGGGGGTGGGGGAAAGGGTGGGGCATCCTCCCACTTTCCATTAAAAAAGGCCAGGGGTTAAACTACCGTCGTTGTAGACCAACCATCTTACAGGGTAGGGTGCTATTTGATTTTAGATTACCGTTGTGGAGGAGACAGTTCCTGGAGTGACGTGTACACTTTCAAAACTTTCAGGAGTGGAGATAGTTGGAGCCCTCGCTTTGCAGTGTATGGAGATTTGGGTACAGGCGGTCAGTCGCTTTCGATCTTGAAAGAAGAAGCGAAACAAGGAAACTTTGATGTCATCCTACATGTTGGTTAGAACAAACTGCTGTTATTCTTGTCATCTTTAATGCTATAGACATAGAGAGTTGGTAGAATCTAAACATGCCTTCAAGAATGAATTTGGAACCAACTTCTACTAAGCATCAATATAACGGTTTTCTGTTTGTTTCTGAAGTACTAATGGCTTTCTTTAATTCTTTACTCAGGTGACTTTGCGTACGACATGCACTCGGTAAGTCATCGTTTCCTTTTACATAGCGGCCTTTTATTGCATGGAGATTAATTTAATTTTTTCAGGGTAACTTCCTAGAGCTTACTAACAGCCTAGTGAACAATCTTGTAAAGAAAAGCAACGTGCATGAGCCCGCGATGGTTGTGCGATCTCTTCTGATGACCATACACCTTTGGCGTGTAAACAAAATAGCCCTGTTTAGGTGTTGGCCCCGAATAATGTGCACATTTATAAAATCTGTTTTATCGTATGTTGAAGATGAACAAAATCCTGCGACGTGATTTGCTACTCGCGCAGGCTTGATGAAGCTATACCACAAGGAAAAGGTGTTATGTCTGTCATATAAATAACCCTTCACTGACCAGGCTTCTCCCGTGAAGATGTTTAGTTATTGTGTGTTCATATTCCTCGACTGCGCATTCTTCCATCTTGACTTCAAGCTTGATCAGCCAGTTAATGTCACTTGTTTGTTATTTTTCAAGGCCGCTTGGAGCAGCAAGTTCGCTGATCGGATCGACCCCTGATAATATCGCATCCAGATCTCCCTCCGTTTGAAGCTTGGCCGTGGGAGATCTGAGCTCCAGATTACACCACTGATTGAATTGTTCTTTTGTTTTACAGGACAATGCGCGGGTTGGTGATAAGTTCATGAACGAGATTCAACCAATCGCTGCCCGAGTACCATACATGACGTGTCCAGGAAATCACGACACTGCCTAGTAAGTTACGTGATCTATTGCTGTACTTGAAAACTATCGTTCCTAGGCCTCGGTCCCTTTAGTCAGCCAAACAGGTTGGGTTGAGGCTTACCGCCGGTCTATTTGGATATTACGAAACGTCAGAAAAAGAAAAGAAGCAAAACTTGCGAAACCAGTTATTCGTATACAGATAATCAAGTGACTTCAAGTGCAATTAAATTTAAAAAAATGGCAAAGAGGGTTAATCTCAGGGGAAGAAAGACTTTTGAAGTCATCTGCTTCATTCCTTTTTGCTTTGTTCTCTTTCAGCAATTTTTCAAACTACAAAAACAGGTTTTCCATGCCAGGCAAAAACATGTTTTACAGGTACGAACAAGATTAAATTCACTTTTTAAGCAGACTAGCGTGTAACTTCTTGATACCAATCATTTCACGATGGTTTTACAGTTGGAACGTTGGTCCAGCCCACATTATAAGCATTTCCACCGAGTTTTACTTCAGACTCCAATATGGATCGCACCAAATCGGTAATCAGTACAGGTGGTTAGAAGCTGATCTCAAGGTAATGATATGATGTTATAATACACTTAATTACTGGTCCCGTAGGAAACAGTTATTTTTGTTTTCCTGAGAATCTGAGAATCCGAGACGAAGTCGAGGGAAACATCGATATTCAAGGGAAAACAAAACTAACTGTTTCCAAAGGGACCAGTGATTAAGTGTTTTGTCATATAGCTGGAGTTTAATGTGAAGTTATAAGGCAAGAAGAATTCAAAGAAACCTCTGGTTTAGTGGGAGAGCGGGACACAATTGCGTAACAGTTGACTGCATAGGTATTTTCTAATTTTCTCTAATATTGAACAGTTCTGGATCTTTGGGACAATTTACATTATCTCGATGATGCATGAAGAGCGTTTGGATTGTTTCATTAATTATTGAACTCATTACGGAGATTAGGTCGAGATCACAATAAGCCGGTCGAACTTCTCACAGTGCTTTAACTCTTTTGTTGACAGGAGGCGACGACATTGATTAATCGAGCGAAACGTCCGTGGATTATCACAATGGGTCACAGACCAATGTATTGCTCAAACGATGATGGCGACGACTGCGCCAAAAAGGAAAGTGTGGTAAGCTGGTAAACTTCAACATAACAATAAAAGCATGCTTTTAGAGCTCTCATTCCGTTTGGGAGATTTTATTCGAAGGTCTTTTTTCCTGAATCATTATACGTAATCAGTACCTTGTCGGTAGACTGTTCACAGCCCTCTATTTTCTCGTATTTTCATTTGATGGTACTCGCGGATAGAATGTTTAAGCAAGCAACCGGAACGATGGTCCTGTTGGTATACGTTGGATCAATAGTGATCTAATCGGCTTCACATATAAAATGAAGAATACAAAAGCAGAAACCGACACAACGTAGAATGATGTTTTGAAGGTGTACTATATTTCGGCTGGCCAAACCAGCATTCTTCAGGTACAATGAGAATTTTTTACATTGGGACGTGTTTTATGCAGCATGTTTTTGTAATACCGGAAATACGTAAAACTAATTGACAGTGTAAATTAAAGATAAGCATACGGTAAAATAAAATAACATAATAAAAGAACACAATAAAAGGAAACCGATTATATGTTTCTTCACGGATGTTCAGACCATCAGGATCAATTGTTCTGCCTTTTTGAATTAAAAAGGCTTCCCTGGCCTTACGGATAGAGTCTCGGTTCGCGAGAGAACTGGACGCCAGCGCAAAACGGAAGACTTGACTGGGTAGGGGGTGGGAACCGAGAAAAATAGAGGGGCTGTAGACATCTTTGGAAAAAAGTGAATTCCCCGTTTCTCCAGAAACGGAAACTTGTTCCCATTGGTTGAGAGGCGACAACAGTGTCATCACCTTGACAACGGCTGATCATGACTGCGTCCAGGCGCGTTTTGTGGCTTGCAGCAGTTGCCATCACTGTTTCGTGCCGTGAGTCGTAATAAGAGCGATTGTTTTTAAAATGTAATAATAATAATGATAATAATAATAATAATAATAATAATAATAATAATAAT